AAACCACAAGTTCACATGCCAGTGCGTGGACTGAACTCTGTGACCCCGCCATTGCAAAACTCTAAGTGTATCATTGTATTTTCATGCAAACAAGCACTGGGAAGCACTTAAACTTTTATTTAGTTGGGTTTTTATTTTTATTTTTCATGGCAATGTGACATTTCTTGAAACTAACCTATGATTTGTTCTTGTTTAACATTCGCCTGTTGGAATTTGTCTATTACTGCCAATATTTATTGAATTCACTTATATATTGGACCATGTGAGGTGATTTCCATATGCTATGTGATTTGATTTTAGAGCATTGTATTGGGATAGGTGGTATGGTCCTCATTGAACCAAAGGAAAAATGAAAGTTCAGAGAGATTAGTTGACTGTCCGTCTTTATACACGAAGTAAAAAATATTGGTTATAAAAGACAAATTCCAGCAGGCCATGTATGAGTTGATCAAATGTGACTTCTAGTCTTCTTCCCTACACAAAGATTCCTCTTCACCTCCTTTCTGTAAATATCTCTGAGCAGGTTGTGCAGAAGACAGAGCACTGAGGCTTCCGATACCTGGACAGAACAGAGGTCATGCAGATTCTTTGGGGTCAGTTTTGCCAGTGGAGACTCAGGCTTCCACACACAGCAGGCTGATGACTCACCCTTTGTCATCTGCATCAAGTTTAAAAGAAAGAGATGGCCAGGCCTGCCCAGCACTGCAGAGTAACGAATGGGCTTTGGCAAATCTGAACCCACCCACCAGGCCTTCCACTGATTGTTTAAGCTCAGCCCAAACCAAATTTTGGTCTTTGAAGCCTGCAAACTTTTCTTCATTACTCATCCCTTCTGATTTTCAGCCAAATTTCCACCAACGAAGGGCCCAAGGCCCAGAAGAAAAGTGCCTTCTTATCCTTAGGGAGGAAGTATCCCGGAGCGCAGTGAAAACGCCTCTCAGGAGATCCCCCTGCTGGCTTTTCAGATCCACCAGCTTGAATCCTTGGGGAAACATCCAAAAATTCTAGGCTCTCCTCCAAATGGAAACTGAATCCCAAATCGTTGCAACCGTGTCCGCATGCATTTCAGACCACTCACTGTGAATTTGGTTGTACTATGGTGTGAAGTTTTGGACTGATGGCCCATCATAATACTTGGGTAAAATATGAGATTTCATGCTTTCGGATTACAGTTTCCACATAACGCCTATCTCCCAGATGCCCCTGCCTTTCGACAAGTCTTTGTAAAGACTGTTTCACAGAATCAGCAACATTAAATCACTGGCTCAGCTGCCTAAATCAATTAAGTACCTGTATGTCCAAAACCCAATTCAAAATGACTTTAAAAATAAAGAAGAATTATTGGCTCAGAAAGCTGAAAGTTCCAGAAATATTTGACATCAGATGAGGCTTGATCTAGATGAACAAAGAGGATCATTAAGGCCTTGTTTATCTACATTTCTTGGCTCTGTCCTTCAAGATATCAGTTTCAACCATAAGACCCACAGGGTGGCCTTCAGAAGTTGCGGGCTTCTCCCTGCTACAATTCCTGATGAAGGAGAGGTGTTTCATACCAACTGTCTAGGAAAAAAAGGAGGCTTCTCTTTAGAATTTCCCACGGAAACTCACACCCCACAGACTCACATTCTGAAAGCCCCTAGCCAATTTCTCTGCTTACCTTCTTTGTGTTAATTGTGTTTTGCAGCTGTCATCAGACCAAGTCCTATGGTCAAAGGGAGGATACTTAGTCGCTGGTTTCGGGCAATGAGGGATCTCACTGGAGCTGGAGTGGGCCAATCCTACTCTAACTTCTTGGACTAGAAGGGGGAAGGGAAAATGACCAGAAGAAATTCAGGTCATTGCTTCCTGAAAGAAAAGAGAGACATGAATACTGCAAAGGCAAATGACAAGTGTACAGATTCCCTCTTGCTGGCACTGTCTGGGTAGAAAAACAGAGAAGGGAAGAAAATTGCCCAAGGTCTTTGAAGTCATTCATTGCTTCCCACTGCTTTATGAATAAAGTCTCGACCACAACCTACTAGAACCGCACTGTGCCATCTGCCCTTCCAGCCACCCCTGAATGCCCCTCTCATAACCTCAGAACTCCAGCTGCACTGCCCTTCACTTTTCCTTGAACTCACAGCCTCCTGCCTGCCTGCTACCAATGTCTTTACATAGACTATTTTCTTTGTCTTCCCACCTCACCTCATGAACTCTTGCTCAAGTCTCACCCCCAGGCCTCATCTCCAAGGCCTCCTAACCAAAACAGCATCCTCAAAGGCATGCGTGTGCAGTCCCCTGTTCTCTTTTACGACGATAATTACATTTATGCCCCTACTCCGTGAGTTCATTCCCCCTTTAACTTCCAGTAAGTGCTAAGTGGGCCCCTCCCATGTGTCAGGCCCCAGTCTTGGTGCTGGGAATAGAGTCATGGACAAGATGGGTTTGGCGGAACTTGGAGCTAATCCCCACACTTCCTGGCTCTAACAGGGAAGCTGAAATTATAGGTACAATTTACACTGAACACACCAAAATATAAGACATGGAGAAACTTATGGAAGATGACATTTGCAATTCAACCCTCCGATGGGGATTCTGGCCTTTACCAGATCTAGAAATATTTTGTTCTGGGCTTGTGCACAAAGAGCATGTCCATAGGTCAAACTTCCTGTGTGGCAGAGGTACCCCTGGGCACTTTGGTCCTCTCGTCCCCTCCCTCTGCGCCAGTACTAGCTCATGCACCAAGCCTGCTCTCCTTATAGCTCCTGAATTCCTCCCCTTCTGTTCACCCCATGCCCCAGCATCAGCGGAAACCTCCCCAGCTCTCTGCTGTGAACTTGAAATGTGCTACGAGTGCTGGGGGAGCAGGACTTGGCCGTATTTCCCTCTGAATCCCCAGCCTCTGTGAAGGGCCTGCATGTTGTAAGTGCCCTGTAAACATGTGTGAACGAGGAAGTGGTTTCCCTGCCTCCATATGCTTCCCCATCTGGTCTCTTCTCCACGCCGACTCGACTCTGAGCGATCTTGTCCTAACTGAGGGGGCCACCTGTCGAAGGATTTGTTAATATCCACTTTACAGTGAGGAATTCAGGCTCCAGGAGGTGAGACTAAGGTCAGCTGGAAGGGTGCACTACTGGAGGATACCAGTGCCTCTACTGCCTTTTTCCACTTTCCACTTTGCCCGCTCGCAGGGGTCCTTAATTAGGGCCAGGGGCTCTAGGCCTGAGCTTCAGAAGGTCAGAGAGGACCTCGGATTCCAAGCAAAATGCAGGTCTGTGTGCACACGTCTCCAGAGGAGAGATCACAGCTGTCATCAGATCTTCAAAGCTATCCGGAACCAAAAACCATTAAGAGTAACAGGCCTGGGGATATTTTCTTTCTTTCTTTCTTTCTCTTTTGACTGACACAAATGCTGACACACCACTGCCCCGAACCAAATCATCTTACTCATGGGTTTCACACAGAGCTGAGGCCCCTCTTCCTGTGGCATCAGCCTCCAACCACCCCTGGCATCCACTGCCAGCCTAAACAGCGCCTGCTGCCGCTGTCACCTTCCTGAAGAAGCTGAATACTAGAAGGAATTGAGGATACAATGAAATCAATTTCCAGACAAGATAAATACAGACAGTAATCTAATCCTGACGTGAAGAATAAGGCTACTGTTGGAATCTCCATGCTAAAAAATTTACTGAAGTACAGGGGCACGCCCAGTTGGAATTCTGGTTTTCACAGTCTCTTTGCTTGTCAAACTTAATATCAAGAAAAATAAGCTAATTTGATTTGGCAAAGACTCACGCAATATGGAACTGATATCTGTGGTAGCGACCTTTGATGTTTTGTATAAACAGTGTTTTCCCTGCTGTGGAAGCGAGAGTTGAATAATAAACAGCGTCTTCCTTTCTCTACTCACTGCCTGCCCCCAGTACCAGTGCACTCGGGGGCGGGGGGGGGGGGAGAGAGAGAGAGGCAGACAGAAAGAGAGAGGACATAGGAAAATAAATCTTTTCCGTGGCTTCCAAAACTGATGGAAGCAACATTTGTTTGCCAATTTCTCCACCTTGGCATTGGTGTCTCTGGCTGGACCACTCTTCATTCTGGGGAGCTGTCCTTTGCATTGGAGGATGTATAGCAGCATCCCTGGTCTCTAGGTAGTAGATGCCACTAACACCTCCCACTCCAGTCGTAGCAACCAGAAATGTCCCCTGGAGGGCAGGAGCACCCGTACTTAAGAACCATTGTCAAAAACGTAGGAAAGAAGATTGATAAAGGGAATTTCTCCTTTTGCTCTTGATTTCAGGCATGACTTGCCTTGATCAAGACCTTCCACTTTGAGGCTCTAATTCATTGCCCAACAACTTAGGAGACCCCAGGAAGACCCTTTGATGGGTCATCTGTTGCACCCCTCTTGCTTCCAGGGATATCAGGCCTGTATATTGCACATCTTCTGGGTAAGGGACAGTTCACCATTGTCTCTGATTGCTTAAACCTACGTGCTTCTTCTGAGCTCACATGTCCTTTCTCCCAGGACAGCATTCAAGTTCAAGACCTGCATGGTCCCTGGGCACACACTCATGCTCCCTACTCTGTGCTTTGTGGCATTTGGTAAAGTGTGATAGTAACAAGTGTTTTCCAGCGTGGGGCAGGTGCAAGTCAATGATGTCCTGGAGTTGGCTTGCACAAACTCATAGGAGCTGAAGGTTACACCTTCAGGAATTCTTTGAGCCATTTGTAGTCATATTGGTAGGCAAAAGACAGGAGGTGCCTGGTCACTCTCTCCTGGCATGGTGGCGTCCAACCCCCACCCAGATGCTTACTGGTGGGCTTTGGTAAAAAGCCAAAGTTCAATCCCTACTAGAACCTTCCACAGTCAACTTTTATCAGCTTCAGCTCCCTTATCTCTGTGTATAAAATAGAAATAATTTTATTTGGGTCTGCTAAGAGGGTTGAATGAGATAATGCATGCAAAGAGTCCAGCAAGGTTCTGGAACCCAGAATGCAGCTAGTGAGTATGACTGCTGGGGCTGTTATCTCCATGGCAACATCATTTCCTTAGAGGTAATTATGTGTTTGGGTGTTTGCCTCTCCCTCCAGCCTTTGTCTCTTCAAGTACAGGGGCCAGATCTTATTCTCCCTCTTTACTTTTCACTAGGCAGTTCAATAGGCACAACTTGAATTCAGTTGGTGCTAAAGGGCAGTACAGAGATATGAGTTAGGATATTCAAACAAAGGATAATGAATTTACTTTTTATTGTTTGATTATAGTCCATATCTTGATCCTACCCTTTACCACCAACTGAATTCAATTCACTTCTTGAACACATAGAAGAACACAATATTGTTGTGTTAACACAAGGAACAGCTCCCAAACATAGAAAACATACATGTCTCTGCCCTGCTTCCAGTAGTTAGTGCTCAAATTGGAAGTATATACAAAGTCCCCACATATCTGTGATGGAAGACAAGTAGTTCTCAGACAAGGATGATGCAGGTGGGTGATAGAAACCATGGAGCTAAGAAAGGCCTTCACAGAAGGGGAAGCAAGTGGCAAAGCTTCAGGGGCTGGTGAACTGGGGTGCCAGTAAGAGACTAGGGGAGTATGACAGATGGTCACAGGTAAGAGTGGTGTGGCAGGAAAACCCTGGCTCTTGCCCTGAGAATGGGGCCAGCTGGAAGGTTGGAATTATCTCCAAGGAGCTTTGACTGCCAGGTGGAGGCATTTATAGCTTGCTCTCTGGGCCAGAGGGAGCCACTGAAAACTTAAGAGCTGGGAGTGCTATCAAAGTCAGGATTTAGATAGACTAAGCCAGCAGCCGAGCAAGACGTTGGTTGGTAATGGACAGAGGGAGGAGATAGTACACCAGTGAGCAAGCCATTAAATAGACTGGAGAGAAACACATAATCAACTAGCACTGTGAAATTGTTCCTCTATAGCATGTGAAACTTCTGTCAATTTATATTTCTTTGGGCAATCATTTGATTAATGTCTGTCTTCCCTTGATACTGGATTCCCCATGAGAACAGACCATGACTCTGTTGGGACTGCTGTGAATGTCAGCACCTAAATGCCAGGTGCTCCACGAACGTCTGCTAAAACTGAAGCAAGTTGCAGGGGCCTGGGATGTGTGTTTTCGGGGCACTGGGAGCTGGGGAAGTGTAGCCAGATACAGAGAAGGGTAGCTTTCGCCCAGCCTGGGGGGAATAGTGAAGAGATTTTGGCTGGAGTCAGGTACCCTGGAAGTTTCAATCCAGGTACCAATTCAGCTGCAACTTCCTGCAAGACTTTGGGAAGTCACTCACTAGCTTCAGAATCCTCTCTGAATTAAAGTTGAGACCCATGACCCTGAACTTCTCCTAGGGGCCCAGGTATATCATTGGGAAGGGGAGAGAGAATCTGTTGGGCACGTGCTACATGCCGGGAACCTGAGTCAGGGGCTTTCCCTGCATTATCTCATTTAACCCTCACAAGAATGCTGGCATCTGTGAACACATCCCTGGAGCTCAGATGGCAGCCAGGTTAGCCTGTCTCATGTTCTGAGTCATGCAGTCCTAGGGAACAATCTAAACTCCATGATTTTTATATCTGGGTGTCCTTGGGAAAGTGACTTAGTTTCTCTGTGCCTCAGTTTCCTCATTTATGAAAGGCCCCTTGAAGTATTATGTAGCTTACAAGGGAGTTAGAAGAACTGAAAGAATGCATTTAATTTCTGGTTTGTCCTTCTGCTTGGTCTTTGGAGGTGAATAACACCAGTTTTACTATAGCGATAGATCTAGTGAAAATCCAAAATGCTCCCCCAGAGTTTGGGAAGGAGCTCAGGATCTTGTCATCAGCACCTGTAACTGGCTGCTACTATTTTCTACGTGTAACTTTTTAAAAACTTAAATCTATCACAAACAGACTTCAGACGACTACAGCAATGGCAACGGAGTGCCACCGGAGCTGAAGAAGGCAAATGAAGAAGTAAATACAGTAAGAATGGAACAAAGGTCTGACTTTCTGCCTAGATCAGGCTGCCGGCAGAAGGCTGCTTGCCTGCACATCCTGGGTAGAGAGAGGTCTGCAAGAGTCAGAGAGGTGTTGGGGCAGTATCACCAGACTGAGCCAGACTTGAGAAGGGGATACTTTCTTCATCTCGTGGCCCAATATAATTCATGAATGCTACGCTAAGTGCTTCCAGTTTGAGCAACACCGCCAACACTGCTTTCCTGTTTCTGACAACTTGTCAGCGGGGACACCATTTCCCTAGCCCATGCACATACGCATACATGTATGTAAAACCACGCAGGCAAGCAGACAAAGGCAGCAAGTGGAGCTTCTTCTCTCCTCCTCTCCAACCTTCCTTGATCTGCTATTATTGTGAGATGAGGAAAAGCAGCCAGCTCCTTTAATCTGCTGCTTGGTGGAGGAATATTTTTTTAATCCTATAGTTTTCTTTTCATCTCTGTTACCCGTTTTAACTACTTAATTTGCCAAGTTCCTGTGAGCTGCCTATTGATAATTGATAGATTGTTCCTTCCTTTTCAATTTCCTCTATTAGTGATCCCAGGAAGTTTATTTGTGCTCTGCATGTAACCCAATAGGTCGGAGAGTGGCCCGGCTTGTTTGCAGGCCTGTGTAAATTAATACTGTCCAGAAGTGCAGAGGCGAGACCCGCAGCAGCCCCTCGGAGCGGGAAGCTATCCACTTACATCCTGGCAGGCTCCTCTTCATTGAAACGACCTGTAGCGGAGGATAAGGACTTCCCCTTGCGCTAATGGCTTTGAGTGGCCATCTGGGGGAGATCACCAGTGCCAGGCAGGCCTGGCTCCTCCTTCCAGACCTCAAGCCCACCACCCTAACCTGGGGCTTGTACAAGGTGGGGGTGGGGTGGGGGTGTTTCCTTAAGAACATCCTGTTTAAGGGAGCTCAGTTTCTCAGCCTTGCTTGTCAAATTCCTTATCCAGTCCCCACCCCACCATGAATTTTGTTTCTTTTCTCCTTCTGGGTTTATTCAGGCAAGAAGCATTAACTGTTAACAAGTATCCCTAGGTAGGATCTTGACTTGGGACTGGATCAATAACAGAGTCACAGGCAATTACCTTCAGACTATTTTTATTTGTCTACCCCTTTAAAACAACTGGATTAATGAATATCTAGAGATTGAATTTGGAGTCAAAGCTTCGGTAAGTTTCTCTCTCTCTCTCTCTCTCTCTCTCTCTCTCTTTTCTCTCTCTCTCTCTCTCTCTCTCTTTCTCTCTCTCTCTTGACTTGGTGGATGTTCCTGCATGGAGACAAGTGATGATCTGAGGAGTCTGGTGTTGCCTGATGTCCACTCTCCTCTTGAATATCACCTCCCAAAATGGGCAGTCTGGACAACGGACCTGAGCTGAAACAAAACTCACATGTGATCACCTCACGCCTACACATCCCAACCAAAGTGGGATCACCTTCAGGGAACTTCGGTTTGGGTCCTACGATTGTCTGATTTCCATTTGAGTTCATTTCATTCTATAGGGATACAATTATGGCAGCAAAACCTGGAAGAAGGGGAAATCTTTGGCTTTCTCATTCATTTACTTGTGGATCTCATGAAGAGATGCTCTCCTTCAGGCCCTCTGATGTGTGGGGATCCAAGATGAGTTGCTTTTTGGCCTACCTCCTCCTGTAGAACTGTGAGTGTTGTGAGGACAGAGTGGGAAGCGTGTTTATAAGGAACCATTGTTCAGCTCTAGCATCTGGCACAGCATCTGACTTGCCAAATAAAAGGAAAGATGGAATGAATGAATTGCAGGGTCTCTGCCCTCCAGGAGCTCACCATCTGTAAACACATCATGATACTGGCCTGCAATAAGGGTTCTGAACTGGCAAGAGTGAAGGACTGTAGAAATTGAGCCAAGGAGTACCTAGCCCAGGGGGGGAGGAGGAGTACCCTCTGGCGAGGGGTCAGAAGAGGCTTGGGGGAGGAAGCAGTGACATGTGAGCAAGGATGTGCAGGATGAGTGTAGTTGGTGAGCCAAAAACAAGGGCAGAGGTAGAAAGGATAGTCTGTACAAAGATAGGAAAGCAAAACATTTATGCAGCTACAACATGGGTGTGGCTCCTCCTCGACTCTGAGGGCTCATCTTGTTCACCCCGTGTCCCCAGAATCTAGCATAGCGATTGGTACTGCGTAAGATATGTTAAAAGAGTACATGAAAGAATGAAGCTCTACCTCTAGCTTGAACGTGGACTGAATCCAGCTTGTGCTGTTTGCGGAGGGTGGAGAAGGGCCAGATCTAAGGAAGGTCTGGACTCAGTGGTGACAGCAGGTGGTTGGGTGGGTGAGCACATATAGACAGCATCCTGAGCATTGCATAGACTCTGGAATAAGCATCCTTAAGGATTCTGAAGCAACCCCTGCAATCTTCCAGTTCAACCACAGATATACCCCACTTCCTCAGAAAGCAGTTTCAGCTGGAAAATAGGTTCTAGATCATTTGTATACAAAGGGTTATTTCAGATCTTCCCTGATGTGAGCTATCACCCCAACTTTAGATGTTGGGAGCAATGGGGGTCAATTGGCACCTTCCATGTTACTCTGTTCCACTTAGGAGTAATGATATGTTTGATTCTGCTCAGGGCTTGAGGTCTGGGAAAGGAAGCCGGAAGAGTAAGAATGTTCCTTCTTCTACTGAATCTCAAAATGCATCTCTTACTTGCTCAATGAATTCTGTACTTGAATTCTGTACAATGAATTCGGGCAGGTCCTTTGCCCAACACTTTCCATGCCTTGTCACACTCATTGCATCTCTGTGGTATCAGTCCCTCTTTACCCCACCAGTTGAGGTTTGAGCCTCATGCTGCCTCCTCCAATGCTGATGGCTGAGCTGTGCCACAGCGTACTAACCAACCCTATGGCCACTCAGGGCCCCCAACTGCTTCTGATGCTCCAACTAGAGCAGAGGAAATTTATTCTTCCAGAGAAGCCAGCTTCCCTACTTCCCCTCAGTGTAAATCCACCACACCCTATGACATGTTGTCTTAGGCCAGTGCCTCAGATGGGGATTCCTGGGGCAGGGCTAATGAAGGGAGGTTTCTGTCATGAAACCTGAAAGGGAAGCAGGCTGGGTGGGGAAATATCAGCAAAGGTGTGGTTTCTGGAAGAGTCTACCTACTTCCAGGTCCCCAGGATGGCACCACACATGTACACTGTCCAGAGATAAAGGGACTGGGCTCTAGAATCAGTCACAGTCAAGGGCTGATGCAGGGTCCGGGGGGAGGCGTGTGAGCAGGGTGAGCCTATGAGCTGCTCTGGTTGTCCAGAGTACCATAGTCGATTGGAGGCACCAGGATGGAGTCCCTGTGGTGTCTGCTGCATGTGGATTTACAGTCAACTCAAGGCACACAGTTTAGAGGTTACACTCTCAACAAATGGACCTGCCATAAAATCCCAGCCCCTCCACACTTAGCAAGGTGACCTCTGGGAAGTCACTTTACTCCCAAACATCATGGTTTCCTCTTCTTTGAAATGGAGATGTTATTAGTTGTTATCTTCTTTTAAAAAGATTTATTTATTTATGCATACAAGAACTGGGGTACAGGCCAGAGGTGCAGGGTGTGAGAGGGCTCACCAGAGACAGAGTGGGGAACAGAACAGGCAGACTGACTGAAATACATTGCTGAGGGGAGCAGTGGGCGATCAGGAGAGGTCTGCTGCGCCATGTGGGTAGCTCCCTGTCAGGGATCAAACTCATGCGGCAGTGGCTACAGATAGCTTCATAGGTTGCATCTTAATCCCTTGCACCACCAGGGAGGCCCCTAGTTGTTATCTTCTAGGATTATTGTAAGGATTTCATAAGACGATGCAAGTGAAAGGGCTTAGCAAGGCTTCCAGTCCTGTGTGAGTCCCTTCACGTCAGTTATCAGTAGTTACTGCCACCACCGCTGTCCTAACACACCACAAATTAGCAAATTGGTGCTCCAGTCTTTCAGTGAAGGGCTGCTTATTCCTCTGGAGCACAACAGGACATGTCGAACTACAGGAGCACTAAGCAACATATATGTGAATGTGGAGTGTATATATTTTTAAACATTAAGTTAGGTAGGAACCAGTTACAAATCCCCTTGGCATTTGGCAGGTCGTGACTCTTCCTTGGGATCCAAAAGCTCCTGAGAACTGCTTGGAAAGGGATGAGTTTGAACAGTCTTCACCAAGGAAGTGTGTCAACAGTCAACTCCTTATTTTCCATGTGAACATTATGCAAATACACAGCCATAAATTACCTGCAAATCACTCTGCTGCTAGTTGCCAGAGTAATTGTAGGATAAATCTTACTCCCTAAATCTCAGTGAGCTCTGGAAGTGAAATGTGAAGTTCATTATTATTGAATTAAAGAGGGACGGCCCATTTTAGGATCTATTTCACCTCATCTGTATTGGTTTTTCTTCCAAATGGAGGATCTGCTTCCATTTCTTTGACCCCACCCAGGAACTTAAAATGGGTCAAACTCAGAATTTTCTAAGTTACCTCATGGAATCCTGTTGGAAAAGGGACAGTTTAGTAAGTCTATTGTCTGGCTTAATTTCTTGGGTCCAAATTTTCTTAGGAATTATTTGAGCACGGAAAGCAATGCAGTTTGTTTGGTTTGATTTGCCTGCCCCCCAACAATGCTCCCTGCTCTTCAATCCCTCCAGGAGAAGCCAGTGGGTTTCCTTAATTCTGCCCATAGAAGAAAGATTTCAGGTGAAAAAGTATGTTACCTTTGCTGCTTTTTGTTGCAGTCTTTGCAGTTGCAGAAAATAAGAGAATTTCTAGAAAATACTGGTGAAAAGATAAAACTTTCCATTAAAAAATGAAAACTAATTTATAGTGGCAAAAAATAAAATGCACAAAAATAACCAGAAAGCAGAAGAGTTGGTTGCTTGTGATTAGGATGCAGGAGAGGGATAGATTACAAAAGGACATTAGGATACCTTTACCTTTAGGAGTATACCTTTAGGAGTATTAGGAG